CGTGAGTGATGCAACCGATTGCATCACTCTATGTAAACACAAGTATGTATAAATTTAAGAGTGTTGTAAAGTTAGTAAAAAAGACAACGACACGACCCGACCTGAACCGAACTGAATCGAAATTACAAGTAATAAAGTTTACCTTTGAACCGAATCACCAACAAGAGACACTACGTTATTGTTGTTGGTTTTGTAACAGTTACTCAAGAAGTGGAGATGAATATGAAATTACAAAGTTTGACATTTCACCGTGACCTTGAGAACAAGACATCAGCCAAATACATCAATATGAAGCACTTAGTTTCAGTACAGGTATTATTGTCCATCCTTTCTTTCTTTCTCATTTGCTATATTTGTTTCCCTTCGCCCATCATAATGTCTTTTATTACCAGATTGAAGCTGTCTTCAGAAAAAAATCCAATAAATYGGTTCAAATCGTCATCTTAGGCTTTAAGTGAGTATATAGGTGATAGACATTGTACTGTTGCAAGCTAGTAATGTTCCGAACTGTGTAATCTATGCAGTAGTGAAGTAGTAATCCGCCTGGTAAACTAAAGTCTGTTTGTTACTACGATGCAACTGTGCATCCATGCCAAATGCTAAACGCAAATACACAAGAAGATAACAGAAGGTAGTATGTCAGGTGAAAACCCTAAAAGGTACAAAAAGGGCCTGAAAAGTCCATTGATTTGATAAAAAATCATACCCTGCCTTTCAGTCTTGTGTTAACCGGCGTTTAACGTGATTCTTTTATACGCTAAATAGGAGTTGTTAACACTACTGTTGTAAAGCTAGTATCATTTCCAATACAGAAAAGGAAGTGTTATCGTTGACCTCAAAGTCTTGATGAGTCAAGTGTTCACATCTCCACAAGAAAATCCTCCTGACCTTCAAAGTGAAGTSAATGCTATTATGATCGACCAAGCAAATAAAGGGTCGTTTGGAAACCTCACAGTTGGTTCCCTCGTATTGAGAGGTATAGACTAGATTCTGGTTTATATTTTGAGAAACTGAATTCTCAGTTACGCATGCGCTTTAAAACATTTATAGCAGGTGCGCTAATGAAAATGAGTTTTCGGGCAAATATTTTTTGGATCTCTGCCAAAAAATCCCTTGTTTTCATGCACATAGATAGTTTTAGAAAGGAAAATCTATTTTGAGCAACTTTCACAAAAGTCTTAAGCAAGCAATTAGTGCACTGCACCAGCCCGCGACCAACCAACCAACAACTACAATCGTTGACAAAATTCATTGGACCAATCTAGCGAATTTCCTCATTTTAATAAATTGATTAATCTCATCCCGCCTGACCCCAAAAATGCAATGTTGTCATTGAGCATTTTACCATAGTACACAAGCATCCAAAACAAGACCCAACATTGATGAAAGGGGGATAAGGGGAAGAACTGTGAACAAATAAAGGAGAAAAATGTTGGACTGGAGACAAATAATCCTATGGTCCAAGATTATTTGGCAACGATGGTATCTACAGTTACCAACTAAAAACCGTGAAGCCAATGTAATAATCAATAGGACATTTGCACGATTTCGTCTTTTACAACCAAGACCCACCAGAATATACTTCTCGTGATTCTTATTAAAATTCTGATCTTGATAGCGTGTGACGACATCGTGCAAATTACCTTTTGATCATGTTCAGTCAGCATTCTTATCTAATATGATCGCTGATTGTTTGTTTTTAGTTAAACCCCCACCACCGTCAAATCTGCAGATAGCTAACAGAAGAACTAAGTCCATAACTATCTCATGGCAGCATCCTGTTGGTCAGCAGTCATATCAAATTCAACGGTATATCCTACGCATGCGCAAACAAAGCCAACAGGAATGGAAGACAATAGATGTAGGCAGCGACATTATCTCTCATACATACTCTGACCTCGATGTAAACACTAGATATGAGTTTCAAATATTCTCAAGAAGCCCGATGGGTGATGGGATACCTAGTGCCATATTGCTTGGTAGAACTTTGACAGGTTAGTTCTGACATATTCAAAGGAGAAATTACGATATTTTTAATATGCAATGTTTTTCAGTTGATCCGATTATCGCTAACGACGGCCAGAACTTCACTGTGACAGTAGGTGAGTCGGTTGTGCTGGTATGTCAAGGGTCAAGCGACCCGAGACCTCAAAAGGTTACTTGGTTGAAGAGAGCGTCAGACAACGAGATTAGTACCAACATTACAGGAAATGGAAAGATATTGAATAGCTACATGACTATACACAACGTTACAGTT